CAACTTCATGCTCAGCTTTCTGATATGAGCATTATAGGTTAAATCAGAGATGACTGGTTGCATTTTAGCAATAAATGGACTGAATCAGTCAGGTGTAATTCTACAACACAAAGTTATAAATGATAGATAAAAGTTTAATATACTGTAGTTTTTATCTTTAGACAGGAAGGAACTTGTTTGTTCCAAAGAGCTTTTCAGAATCTGGGTCTAAATTGCATCCCCTATGGTGGTGATTGTTTACCCAGTGCAGATTTACCTCGGATGAACCGGCATATTTGGCTTCGGGTAGATGTGGGACAGAGAGACATAGAGAGAGCATGTTAAAGAGAAAGAGACGGAGAAAGAAGGAGAGAGAGAGTGTGAGCAATCTGAACAGGCTGAGCAGCAAGAGGTTGATTTATAATTAGAGTGAATGTCTGTTCAATACCCCCACTGTTCTGGTGATAGCTCCATTGCACAGAGTGGTGGGCTTGCTGCTGTGAACTTAATTTGAATTCTGAAGCACCACACATCTTCCAGCATTTACAGATAGCCTTGCATGTCCACAGCAATGAAGACTTTCAGCAAGATTTTTTATTTGTGGATGTACTAGGCTATAGTCTACCATGTCTTGGCTGTGACAGTTACTTGATGTCCTATGAAAACTTGTCTAAAAGATGTAAACATGCTCTCCTTTAACCCTCCATTTAACCCCATCTTAGAAAGCAATGGAGGTGATGTGAGATACACAAGAGGCAGAGTACTGAACACGTTCAGTAAGTCAAACATATGAACCATATGGAGAGATCAACAAGAGACATGAATGTAAAAAAAGGTGTCAAGATTAAAAAACAGACTGCATGTGGGAGGAGTGCATGCCACATAATTATTAGTCAGTGTGTTGGACATTCCTCCATCACTGCCAAAATTCAGCTGCAGGAAATGTTAACAAATGGGTTTAAAATTTCTACCTGATAAAAACTACTTTGAGCTGTTGTCATACAGGTAATTAACTTAATAACAGGATACAGAAGGTACTTTTATCTCACCGGCGTATGGGAGATAAGATGGAAAAATGGTCTTATACTTGTATAGCGCTTTTCTATGCATTGCAGCACACGCAAAGAGCTTTCACACGATTTGGCCATTCAGCCATTCACACTCCCAAACATTCACACACTGGTGATATCATCAGGGGCAACTTGGGGTTTAGCGCCTTGCTCAAGGAGCACTTCGACATGTGGACTGGAGAAGTGGGAATCGAATCGCCAACCTTCTGGCGGTTAGGAGACGACCCGCTCTACCTGCTGAGCCACACCCACCATTTAATATATACACAATCTGCCAACAATCTTCATCACTCATAAACAGTACTAATTTGTTTCTTAATGCATTAAAGCTTTACAGTGCAGTATAATGCTAAAATATTACAGCACTCGAAGATCTAATCATATCACTTAGTTTGTGGGAAAGTGTGCTGTATTCATTAGTTCACAATCACAGGAATGTATCCAAACAAGGACACACAGTATACCTACCGAGGTAATTAACATCCCATTAAGCCAGGCAGTAGGTTACATATGTAGTATGTTAAAGGACATACATCATTGTAAATAATCTAAATATTGCCCATCTCAAAATGTAATTTTCTAACATCTACCTCCCTGCATCTCTAAACAGTTCATTCTTACATGCAGTAAATCTAACATAAGTAAAGCTAAGTGTTAAGGTTGCAGAGCGCGTAGAGAGCTTCAGTTACCAGAGAGGTAAACATTAGAATGGGCAAGACATGATTGAATGCAGTATGAGGGTTGGTGCTTCCTGGGATTTTGTCTAGAGTTACTGAACATGATGTAAATAACAATTCATCTTGTCAGCTAAAATGTCTTGTTCGTGCGAGAGATCAGAGGCAGGGTGGGTTTAAGCGAACACTGCTTTGAGAATGGTTTATGAGAGAAGGGAATGTCAATGTTCTTCACATATTAATCACAAAAAAATGCATTTTCATTTCATTTTACTGACTACCGATTATTTTCTTGAATATCTGAACAACTATTTTGTGTCTAAAGATAAGGAAATATACCGATACCCATAGTGATATGTTTAAAACGCTGGCTTTGCCCAAACAGATAAATATAACAAAGAACACAAATTTTCTGTCAACTAATTGGTCAATTATATAAGTGTGCCATCTCTAATCAAGTGGTGTATAAGAAGTCAAAAAATGTTTTCCAGAATCCAATGTGTTAAAGATATTCCTTTAGAAATTGCAAAAGATCAACAACTGCATTAGAAAATATCCAGCTCTTTGATTTACAACAAGCCTGTGTTCATCAAAATTCTGGGTGTACGAGTTAACAAGGATTGCGTGCATAGGAATTCATTTTTCCAAGAGACCACCGAGGTGAAAGTTCAGTTTAAATTGGTTCAGTTTTGGATTCTGGATAAATTTCAATGTTGTTTTCAACTGCAACAACAAAGAGTTCTGAATTCGCTTGCACTTTGATTCTTCTCCAAGCAACGGTGGCCGAGGTGTATTGTATTTTAAGCAGCTTTTCATGCCAAAGTGATGAAAAAAAAAAAACACAAAGTGAAACAGTGAAACTAAATTGACATAATTAAAACCGACAGTCATAAGATAAACCTGCAGCTCTGCACTGTATATGGTCATTATCCGGGAGAGTCCCTTAGTTCAGCGTCAGCTAATGTCGAGGATATCAGTGAAACCACATTTTAAAATTGGAATGCAAACCGGAGTAAACCGTGTCCTGAACCATCACCCCGTCCCACCTTCCAAAAGCATAACGATGGATCCTTGATGATGTCAGTGATCCCAGCTCAACAGAACTCATTTTGGGAGTGTTGCAGCATGAACTGAAACTGCTTATAGAGCACTGTAGTAGCGAGTACTGAAACCTGGAACTGAGTTACCATTTTTGCACTTTTGATTCCCTCACCCTGAATTTCTATGGGTTTCCTGAACGGGTTTCTAGTTAGAAGCTTGAAATAAGTTCTGAGATTAACACAAAGCCAATACACTTTTACGTTTTCTTCTATGGCATAAACTATGTCAGCAAATACCCCACTCATCTTTTTAAAGCTTGTACTACAGAGGCTGTCTGGGATATTAAACTTCATCACACCGAACACAGAGACTCATCTACTCACTAGCCCGCCTCAACAACCTCATTGTTTTTAAAACTGACACAGCCATGATCGCTACCTAGATAAGGTCACGCTAAGAAGAAAGGATTTTGTAGACGAGGTAAGTGCCATAAATCAAATAAGTTGGAAGCGGCGGTGGTGACACTGCAGTTATGGGACTGTGGTGTAGTTTGTTTATAGCCTAAAAATAACTTTTTATTTCTGGCCATTGTATTTGGGGATCAAAAATTATAAAAGTGGGGTTCATTTGTGAAGATTAACTCACTGAACAAAACGTCTTAAGTGCCATAAACTGTTGTTTGTCACAGAGCTTATTTTCTGCAATAACCCAAAAGCCTGCGGAAAAATCCCACTGGCTTTTTGTCAGGAGAACCAGGATGATGGTAACTTCTCAGCTGGCCTACAAAAATGCATCATCCTGATGCTGATCCTTATCCAGGCCTTGGAAAAGTCTGAAAAGGTCTGTTTTTGAGCCATGCTCTTGCTACTGCCAAGATGTACAGTAAAGTTATGCTGCACAAACTGCGGTCTTCTTTTAACCATGGGTGAACAAACTAGCTGATTAGCAGGATTATTCTTAACTGCTCTGTCTTACTGTAAGTGCTCCGAGTTGCCCCCCACACCATGCCAAGCAGCCACCCACAATACTTTTCTACTTCTGTTGTGGCACATTGTAGCAAATGTTTGCTGTGCACAAAATGGCAGAAATGAAAAATAACACCCAAACCGCATGTAAACGCAACACAAAGTCATCTAGAAATGTGTTTCCAATTTGTTTTGATTTGGCCCGCTTTGATTTGAATGCCACATGTCCTGGTTTCTGCCAGGGCGCATGAACCCATGGAGCAAAATGAAAAAACAAATGTTCATAAAGGATTTAGCCTGCTAAGTCTTGTTGATTTCATGTGGTGAAGACGTCATCACACAGTACATTTCATGCAGCGCTGTTGAGGATTGGTTCATTAATTCACTATATTAAAACCGAACAAAACTATTAGGAAAATAGATGATTGGAAACACATCTCAAGGACTTAACCATGTAGTTCATCTTAATGAACACACTCACGTGGCTCATACCTAAACATAGCACAATTTGTAAGCTAGTTTTTCAGGGCATTTATAAGCACTTTTGCCTAAAACCATGATGACATCTATTAATCAAACACAGAGGCATCCATAGAAACCTTTCTGACAGTTAAGAGCCTGTCTTTCAGTTACACAAGAGGCTGAAAATATTCTGCAACATATATACAGTACCAAAGGGTTTCCCCTAAGGAAACTGTCTAGTAGGGGTGTAAGCTCACATCCTGATGTGTCTTGTGATCAGTTTAGTTACTGCTTAAAACAGTCACACTCCATTACTGTACATTTAACAAAGTGGCAGTCACATAAACATGAACAAGAATAAAGCAAGCGCAACAAAAATCTATATTGCTTATGTGGAGATGTTTCTATTTCTTAACAGAATACTGAAATGTAAACAAGTCTACCTGTCCTATAACCAGAAGACATGTCGTTCCACATATGTTAACCAACAGGAAATGACGTACGTAGGTTACATTACGCAAATGTTGCAATATTTCCTTCTTTTTGACAATTTAGAGCAAATTAAAACCAAGTGAAAAACTGACAAGTAACCTACAAAGTAAATGTGGTCAAGACAAATTCAGTCCCTAAAAGCAGCGAGTGAAGCAGCAGCATGAAAGCGCCACGATGTGCTAGCAAACAAACAAACCATCAAAGCCAGTTAACAGCCCGGTAGATATTTGGTTCTGCCAGTAAAGCACATGCACTCTACACCAAACTCGGGACATGAACTCACAACAACCATGTTAGCACATGTAATTCATTCTTACCTTAATAAGGGGAGGGAGTGGTGACTCGGTGTAGTACGCGTCTCTGCGCCATCGTGTCAAGCTGAACCACGGAACGGCAAGAAAGTTTGAGTCCAGGTCAAAGTGGCCTTTTTACGACTTCCCTAGGGGTCAATTGGTGGTGCTTATTTTAACTGACCTACTTTTGTGTTACCTCGCAAACAACAGTTTTTGCACTCCCATGCAATTGTGCCATGAGCTGCCCTGGCGTTACGCAGACTATATCTGAAATGTATGAAATAAAAGAGATTTAATTAATGTGAGAGGTTGTGAGATAGTGTGAGAAAAAGTCCATTTATTTTGAAAAGAGAAGACTAATAAAAAGATATATTTCTCTATATGAAATTTATTATGCATTAACGTATCAAAATAAGCATGTGCACATGGATCCCTTCTGTTTAGGATAAACAGAAAAGACTAAATTCAACTTAGCAGTACACAACATTTATATGAAAAAATGTTACTCTCTGATTGGTCCAAACTGTTGGGGAGGAATTGTGGTTTAAACTTAATTCTCCCAAGATTGGTCCTTCAGTCCGTCCATCCTCCAATCCTCCTCTCTGATCCAATGGTTGTAGGCAGCACCCTAAAAATGGAGGAAATTCTACTCTGTCTAAATACCTACACTCACCCCTTTCTTTGTTACACTATATGACACATGGCTTCCCGTTTGGCTAATTAAACTGTCTTGCCTGTGTGTGTCTGTCCCTTGATGTTAAACAGTGCTCCAGTTTGCTTGCACAGTAAATACTGACTAGTGATTCAGTAAACACATAGGGTGATATATAGAAATGTAACTAAATAAACATAAACACAACTGTGAGATTAAAATATATAAACTTATATATGCTATATAATAAAAACCCTAACTAATTATATTCATTTCTATCTAAAAATGAAAATCACCCTAACAATAGTCCTATACTGAGGAGTGTATGATAGCAAGACTTGTAAAATGATGTTCCTGGGAGTCTTTTGTTATTGATAGGCTATATGCTGTACCATATTGTCTTTTATTAGTTGCCTACATTAATCTGATCTTTATGACAAAAGACAGACATATTATTTTTTTTATTTCCAGACAGTCTTTTAATTTGTACAAGTGTGAAAGAATTTCCTAAATCATAAACAAAACAGAGCACATGCATGGATATATTGAAAATATCAGAATCAAATTTACTGTGATATGCACAGTAGAAACAAGCAGCCACGCTGCACAGTGACATTCATCCTTTGTGAGCCCAAAGAAACCAGTGTGTAGTAAATAACTAGACAAACACAACTATGTGCAGATGTAAAAGTACAAAAGTTTAAAGTCAATTCAATGAGTGGATCCATAGCTGCCATGGCAAAAGGTATTGTGCACAGTTCAGCTCTTGATCCAGCCTTGCATGAACAAAGTATGTACAATACCTATTCTTTATAAGTTGTTGTTGTTGACTTTGACAGCCAGATCACATATGGAAACACATGTTGTGCAACCAGTGATATGGTTGTACAGTAGTGCAAACTGCATGTGCACATCAGTGGTGAACAGAAACAAACCGCATGTCAACAAGAACTGCAATTATGTGAAACATTTCAATATCTGTATGTATACTACTATGGATACCTGTTTGAACTAAGTAAAACCTTTCACCTTTTTAACACCCCAAATTGTAACCACAATTAAAACTAAATGTTTAAAAATAATCATGCCCCCTTGAGCTTTCTCCAGCAACATCCACTAACTCCTGGCTATTGACCTTTGACCCCCTGTTCCAATTGCTGCAGTTGGTATCAGACATGACTCCAGTCTTTCTCTGAGGTGCTACAGTTTTATGATAGGTGCTGAGTCTTTGTGATGTTTGTTAGATGTTCCTACAGGTTTACTGTTGTCCATTCTGGTCTTAAGGTTGAAACATTTGGTCGACCTGTCATTTGAAAGTGTGTAGATAATTGTGTGAAAACACTTCCCTTCATTTTGATGAAAGGACTCGTTTTGACGGCTGATGTTTCTGATGCTGTGAAACTCAGACGGCACAGATGTCTCTAAAATGATATAGTTTATAGATGTCAGTGGTAAATGTCTGGAAATGTGTTATTTAAACCATCATTCCTCTTTTGATAAGAGGTTGTCAGCAGTAAGTGCTGGACAGCTGTGTCATATATTTTCTGAATGTACTGTAGCTTTAGCGTTATTCCCGCCGTGCATTTTCGCTGAAAGACTACTTACTAAAGAATCCTGCCAGCTGTCAAAGATGCCTGAAACTCACAAGGAAGCTCTTGTTTTTAACATCCCCCTTTGTGATTAAATCTTTGTGATATATAGATGTGGATCTCAGTGCAAAAGTGAACTGCACAATTAGAAAGCAGCACTGTAAAAGCATTGCTTGAAGTAGGTAGAGTCCCTCATATGAAGGGCGATTTCAGCCTCAAGACAGGCAGAGGTTACTCAACCACAAACAAAATACTCTAAATCGTTTCATCCTGCATGGAAAAACCAGACATGTTTATCAGTTGTTTTTAAACCTATACATACCTGATTGAAGATAATGAGATGAGGCAGATCACTTGAGAATGAGGAATGGGCTGTTCCCCATTCCCACAGTCTCTAAAACCGCTGATTAGATTATTGTGCCGGGGCTGTGGTGAGGCTTCAGGCTGCGGCTGTCACCCCACCATTCACCTCATCTGCCCTCTTTCTCTGTCTCTCATCTTCCGTCTGTCCCAGGCTCATACTCCAGTCCCTGCAGAGTAACAGCTCCCCCTGTAGGATCGAGGCAGGGCTCTAGAAACCTCAAACTCTCAGCTGCTTCTTATGAAGACTTAGCATCACTGAGACCAGCATTTGCATTTTTCAGATCATCCAAAAGGAGAGATCTTTTCAAAATACTTTGGAATTTTAAATTAGAAGAAAAACTAAATATAATATAAATATATGTTTCCTGTTTGAATTTTTATCTATGGTAAATCTGTGCCTCGAAGGCAGGTCCACATATTTCAGTTTCTGCCTTCCTGCAAATACAGTACCATGCTTTTCATGCAAATCAGGAAATAAACTTGTTTTATTTGACATATCAGTGTGTTTTGCACCGTACTTTAAAGCCAAATGATCTCAAAGACCAGTGGGCAGGGAGTGTGCGTGCACTGGCTGTCTGATATCAGTGGGTATATGAAAGTCACCTTTTGTCAGGAGTTAATAAAGTCACAGCCAATCACGGCCAAGATCTCAAAAGGCCTTTCAGACATCCAGGGAAGGCAAGTAACATTGTTTTCTTAGTGGAGTACTTGTACTTTAAAAACATGTACTTTTCAACTTGAACAAAGAACTTGACCTGGCAGTTCTCCTTGTAGTGGAGTACCTTTTTAGGGAAGTACGTACATCTGCCACCTCTGCTGATGTGCAATTTAAATGTATCACTACCCATTCAAGAACTGACAGTGGAGCAGTAGTCTATTCAGCGCTCAGCAGTAAAGATGTGCAGAGTTGGCTTGTAAATCTCCATGATAACATGTTTCTCTGTCAGTCTCCCACATCATGTGTTTTTCAGTTTAGTATATGAACAAATTTGAGGCAAGTAAACATCAATAGCTCTATCATAAATATACAGTTAGGCAATACCTCAGCCAGAATGGACTGTGAAATGAAAAGCTGCATTTGTCTGGTGCTTGTGGGAAACATTAAATGATCCAAATGTTAATGATCTGTGTCAACTCAAAACCATCCTTCATCATAACATATCCCAGTGTTTGTTTTAAAGCATCAGAAGCAAGTTGATGGTCTGCAGACCTTTAAATTAAAGAGCACAGCAAAAATAATATAGCGTGGATGAAGGATGTGATTAGAATAGGAGCCAGATTTGGCCCGTCCTGGAGGGACAGTGATCATGTTGTCCCCGAAATACCTTTCACTATCCGTTGGCACCTCTGAAATATAGTATCTCACTAATCGAGAAGCAGGATGAAATGGACTAACAGTTTTAATGAAGACTGTCACCAGCTAATTGGAGTTAACACGCTTAAAACCTAAAATTCCTTAGAGTACAGTATGTGTTCAACTCTTCTTTAAAACCACAAACAGCAAGTCAGGAGCTGTTCCTGTAAAAAACTAGAGGCAAGCGTTACTAGCATGAGAGCACAGGGCAAATTAGCACTTCCAAACAAAACTGGCCCTGCAAATGACAGCTTATTGAACTGACAACTGTTTTAACAATCTGTTCTTCTTTAAAGTCATACTTTAAAAAATGGCCCAAACTGGACAGTTCCAGACTATCAAACCTTTCAGAATTAGATAGTCTGGAACTGTCCAGACTATCAAACCTTTCAGAATTAGCCACATTTTCTTGTATTAACAATACTGTGAATTCAGTATGTTTAGGTTTTGGTTTGTCGGTCAGCCAACACAACTTATACTGCGCCTCCTCTTGGTCTTTGTGCAGTTCGTTTGCACTTAAATGTAGAAAAACTGCACTTTCCAGCTGCTGCAACTGTTTGTTCAATGAGCAGGTGCAGAGCACATGAGACATGACAGTAAGTATAATACATGTAAAATGAAGAAAATATAAGCAAAATTAGTACTGCTATAAATAAATAAACAGTATCCAAATCACAATACCGGTCCACACACAATCACAAGGGGATGCAACATTTTGTTTAGGAGTTGGCTGTGGCTGGTACTGGAAGCCTGTGATGTTTCAAAAAGTGGCAGGTTTCTCTTGCAGCAGTCTGTCTTGGCTCTGAGCCACATGAGTCAGGTAGGGGAGGTGAGGACATTCTGGCAACATACACAAGCTGAGGAGAGGCTGTGGGATTCAAGAGAGCAGGATGGTCTCTGACCTGGATCAGTAAGAACTCATTTCAGTATCACCTTTTCCCCCTTAACACATCACGCATACAGCTAATGTGATATTCCTTGAAGATGCTGTTTCTTTTTTTTCATAATAATGTATTGTTTCTTATGTTGGCTCCTGTATCTTTCCAGCCTGTTAATATGTATAAAACTGCAATGTGTTCAGCTCCTTTTCTTGCTTTCCTGGTCATAAAAATAAGAAATACCTTGGCATCTTTACCTGTTGTTTACATATGTTCGCCAGTTTTATTCCATCGCTGCAAAACTTTATCCATTGGAAAAGTGAGCACTGGTCCCAACAGCCACGCTGGCAGATATCCAAGTGCTATGTTTCCAGTACTGTCAAAAGATATAGACATCAGGGAAACTAGAA